CCAATGGCAGAATTACAGACATTAAAACTCAACGCAAATCCAAGTCATGTCCAAATATTGTATTGTTTTCTATTGTTTTCTTTTTTATAACAGGATTATAAACTTGGTCTAATACTCGGTGCCTTTTTCTCTGCACTCGCAGACATGATGAAATCACAAGAGCCTGACCTGGCAAAAACGTACAGTTAACTTTATATGCTGCTCCAAAAAGCCTCTTTTGGGAGTTTCCTCTAAAAACTGAAGTCGTAAAAGGATTGCAGCACAGCATTAAAACCCAGCTTGCCCATCCTTTGGTCAACACAGCAGCTGCTGTTTGTGTAGTGAGACATTTTCGGCTCTACTCGCTCATGACAGCGTAACAGAGCACCAGTTGTTGGGTTAATTGTTAATAAAAGGCCACTGGCTACTCACAAGTCTTGGACAACATCAACACTGAGCCTGCTTTCTAAAGGCCAGGGCACACCGACCAGACAAACACAAACAAACAGAAAGATTAAAGTTTGCAGTCGTCCTTATAACGATTAGAAAAAGAACTTAGAAGTAAAATGAACTGGAGCAGATGGGAAGAGGTGTTTTGCAACACTTAAACACGGGTATGACAATCCAAGCAGTTTGTGTTTGTCTTGTCAGTGTACTCTTGCCTTAAAAGACAATAAAAAAAAAAGTAATGGTGATATAATACACGCAGGCCAGGATGGGCTGCTCCCTTTCCCAACAGAAACTGACGGATGACTTCACGACTGTTTAAGTGCAGTGATAGTGGGGTAATTAAAGCCAGAACTACAGCTTACAAACTGCGCAGTCACTCCAAGACCAGCCGAGCAGAATCGCTGTACAGTGACGTCACTGAACTGTCAACTATATGCAAACACATTAGCATTTATTCCACGTAAAATGAGCTGGTCAAACAGGAAACACCAGATGTGCAGTCCTAGCAAAAAGGCTCTTCAAAATACCAAAAACCAAACACATACTGTACAATACTCGGTGCTCGATAAAACAAAGTTTCTTTAACTATAATATAAATAAACATATTTACATACCTATATAGAAAATCTAGTATAATACATCCTTGTGGAGGCAAGTACAGCATGATCTGAATGGCACAGATCATGAACCATTTTCTTCTCTGTCGTTTTTCCCCTCCACCGTTTAGTCACGTCCAAGTCCCACCCGCTAGCTAGTTCTCCCCCATTACACAACGCTACCACGCTGGGAGGATGAAGGCCAGCTTGTGCTTCCTCTGAGACACATGAAGCACCACCGCATCTTTCCAAACTGCCGCCAACACGTCACTGAACAGCTCACTGTGATGAGAACTACCCAACTCTGTTACATCAGCTAAGAGACGAATGTGTTGACTCAAGCTGAGCAGTGAGGGGGAAAGGGAGGACCACCCTACTCACTACACAGAGGACAGTAATGCTTTGTTGGACTCCCAGCCACAGATGAATGTGGCATCACCAAAGCTTTTTCACCTGCCTAGTTTGGTGTGGACCAAGTTTTTTCTTCAGTTCAGATCATAGTGACGGGTGTGCAGTCTCCCTATCGCAGAACCCACCAAACAACTGAACCTCTGTCCACCCGGCTCTCTCCAATAGAGCCCTGGTTCAGTTTGCAGCAGGTGGGAACAATTTTATGATGTTCCACAATAAATAAGGCAGCGCGTCCACAATGTACAGATGATTGTACTTACAAGCTGCTTCTAATAATGACAAAAGAGCAATAAAGCATCTGATTCTGTCACATAGACTGTGGAATACATTTTTGATAGACCTCCTCGTGATGAAACATGATGAATAGCGATTTTGGGTATTCAAACAATGATCCCTCAAAAAATTAGCAGAGCACTCGAGTACACACATCCCCAGTTTGGGCAAAGGATGAGCAACTTGTAAAATTACATAATAAACTTTATGCTCACTTAAACCATTTACAGTTTACTGCATTGTTCTGTAATGATTTACAAGTGAATTCAATCATTTTGAAATTGGATGAATCTTTTTGAATCACCCTGTATAACAGACTATAGAAAGGTAAAATAAAAACTTTGTTTTAGGCACTAATGGAAGCAAACGTAAAGAGTGTTTGTGTGTCTGCCAAATTTCTCACCAATCAAAGAATTTTATGCACTTTAGCTGTTGCATGTGAAACCTACTGCACCAGTTGGGAAAAATTCTATAATAAAAAAAACCCTCTGGTGTGGACTTTTGCGAACGAACAGCTCAAAAAAAACATTTTCTGGTTTTCAGGGTTGCCATGATTTTACTGCCTTTACTAAAGACTCCTTATAGATCTCTTTGGCAAACCCCACAAACTACACCGACACTTGGTGTGGCATAATCTTCTGTACAGCGATGACTGAAGAGAGGACATCAAAGCTAAAGGGGACCCTGTAAGGAACATTTATAACATGTAACAGAATTGCTGAACAGTACATAAAGACACTGATACAGAGCACAAGACGGATGAACAAATCGTTCTGGTCCTGAAGTGCAGCTGCAATCTAGGTGAAATCAATGCATGCTGTCCAACCAGCACAACTTGTCCTACACACTCGGTCTGATGCAGTTGTCTATACACATCTCTCACACACCCTCACCTCACTCTGCTGAGTGTGTGTGTGTGTGTGTGTGTGTGCGCGCATTCTGACTACGAAATCCTGAACCGGATGTTACCGGGATCTAAAAATCCTTGAGATACCGCTGCTGGTCTATGGGCACAGATAGGCAGGCAGAGAGACAGACACAGCAATCTGTGTTGTGTCGTTGTTTCAAGGGCAGCAAAGAATATTCAATCTAATTCGATAATTTCAGTAGTGATAATATTTGGAAATGGAAAAGCAATTCAAGCAACTGGAACTTCTACCTGCTTTCACGAAAGATGGTAAAAGTTACTGTTCAGCATCTGTACATCATTTATATTAGTTTGAAGGAAAGAAAGTATTTTATGAAGCTAAACCAGCAGTTCATCTAAAGCTCCTACCGCTCTAGATTGCCAGCTGCTCTACACTGATGGAGAATGTGTTGTATACGCCTTTATACACAATCGTTTATTTCCCAGAATAAATGGCAGTGTGCTGGTCAGTGAGCCGTCAGTCCAGAACAGAAAGAAACTGCAGTGGGCAGTAATGCAGCGCTGACCAGAAAAGCTGTTTTTCGTTTTAAGGACAATGTAGTTGAAAAGACACTGTTTTCTCTTTTCTCCTCCACTGCGCATCACTAACAAGCAGTCTCAGGAACCTGATCAGGGTTGCCAAATGTGGCAGGATCCCTCTCAATAACACTTCATGCTATTAGTATGACAATAAAGTTAAGTTAAGCAGTGAGGTTTTTCCATTTGCTTTGTTCTGTTATAGTACTGAGGTTCTGTTTAAAAGAGTCGTCATAATAATAATAATAATAATAATAATAATAATAAAGGACTTCACAAATGATGTATTTATGTAATTAACACGAAAACATATCTTGTCTATAATTTTCTTCAATAATCTTGTGTATAATCCTTCTTTATCATAATATCAAAATATTCAAGATAACATTTGATAGAATATTCAAAAATAAAAACATCGAATTTTAACAATATCATCCAGCCCTAATAGGTTGTGTGTGTAAATGATGGTTCTTCAAGGGTTCTTTAGTAAACGGAATTGTTCTATTTGGTGCCATGGGTTCTTTATAGAACCATTTGCATGCTTAATTGATGGCTTGCATGGAGAAATGGCTCTTTAGATTGATGGAGAATGTGTTGTATACGCCTTTATACAGAAACTTTTTTCGAAAATGGTTCTATATAGCGACAAAAAGGGTTCTTCTATTGTTAAATCTAAGCTTGTAACAACAGACAAACCCTTTCTGGTGCTATACAGGACCACAGGCAACACATTCTCCACCAATCTGAAGAACTATTTCATCATGCACACAACCATTTAAGCATGCACTTCTATATAGAACTGATGGCTCGAAACAGAACCAAAGAACCCTTGAAGAACCAGACTTTACAGACTGATGGAGAATGAGTTGTATATGCTTCTATATAGAACCTTTTTGAAAAGGATTCAATATAACACCAAGCTTGTAACAATAGACGAACCCAACCATTTCAGCATGCAGCTCTATACAGAACTGATTGCTCGAAACAGAACCATTCCCTTTACTAAAGAACCCTTGAAGAACCATCTTTTTTTAAGTGTGTATGTATCCAACAAAGCTTCCTTTTCTACTCTATGGCACACACCCAACAGGACTGCCCGTGTATTGTCATTACAGTCATATCCCTAAATCTCTTTATCCCAACACTTTCTTTAACTGCCATTTTATGGGTCATTTAGATAAACAGTTACTGCGGTGTCTGATGGCTTGAACAGAGATTCAGTAGACATGGCCACAGCTTCTACAGGCTTCATTGGAAATAAATATCCAAATACACGTTACAGTAAATAAAGGAGGCACTGCCTCATCAGCTTTAGCCTGTGGGGGAGAAAGGAAGGGCTGAATTTCGCGCAGCTGCCCGTTAATGTTCACTCATGTTCACTCATGTTCACTCATGTTTAGTCACACAGCCCTTTAACGTTTTCCACACCGTCACTGCCCTGTTGGTTCACACTGCAGTAAAGTCTGCGGTTTGAACAACGAAGGAAATTCAACTTCACCCAGAACACAAGGACCCACAGAGCACAGAGCATCCTCAGAGCCGGCATAGCATCCTAAGATAAGGCCACAAACTGCATTAAGCTAAACCAGCAAAGAGGACAGAAACAAGTGAGGTTAAACGAGCCGGTTAGCTGTGCGGAGGTGAACCTGAGGTGACTCTGCTCTTCAAACTGACTCCGGAATCTGTGCCCCAGCTAAAACTAGCCCGGCAGGCTAAGCTGGCAGGTAAACTTAGCTTAGCCGGTTAGCTGGCTAAGTTAGCCGTGTCCGGAGCGGGAGCTGTAAACTATTAAACACATTTAAGCCGAGTTTAATACAAACTCGCGAACCCGACACGTCTTAACCTACCTCGCAGATAGAGAGAAGTAAACTATTCCAGCTGCTTTGTTTAATGCCCGACACTGACTTGCTCGCCGTGTCCCAACACGAAACACGGCCGCTGAGTTACTGAGCTCGCTCCCTCAGCCTGTCCCTCACCTCATCATCTCCCCATAGCGTTATCTGATTCTGCGCATTCTCATTGGCTCCTGTCTGTCTCTGCGCATTCTCATTGGCTGCGGACGATACTGTGCATTCTCATTGGCTCCCAACGTCACTGCGCATCCTCATTGGCCTCTGACGACACTGCTCATTCTCATTGGCTCCTGTCTGCCTCTGCTCATTCCCATTGGCTCCTGTCTCACTCTGCTCATTCTCATTGGCTCCTGTCTGCCTCTACTCATTCTCATTGGCTCCTGTCTCACTCTGCTCATTCTCATTGGCTCCTGTCTGCCTCTGCGCATTTTAATTGGCTACGGACGAAACTGCGCATTCTCATTGGTTCCCAACGCCACTGCGCATCTTCATTGGCTCCTGTCTCACTCTGCTCATTCTCATTGGCTCCTGTCTCACTCTGCTCATTCTCATTGGCTCCTGTCTGCCTCTGCTCATTCTAATTGGCTCCTGATGACACTGTGTTGGAGCAAAACCTCTTATCTCCAAAATGATAACTTTTCAGGAGAAGGAAAAAACGTACCTTACTTTTAATGTGAGTCAATGGAACCAGACTTTTTCCCCTCAAGTCATTTTTGGCCATTTATTTTGGTCCATTCAACATAATTTTCAATTTACGCACAATGTAAAGGACAACAGTCACTCTCAAATTACGTAGAAAACTGAAAAATGGAGATATAAGGTTTTGTTCAGACAGCAGCAACTGGCTCCTGACGACACTGTGCATTCTCATTGGCTCCTGTCTGACACTGTGCTTTCTCGTCGGCTATTGTCTGACATTGCGCATTCTCATTGGCTCCTGTCTGACTCTGCATATTCTCATTGGCTTCTGTCTGACTCTGAACATTGTCATTGGCTCCTCTTTGACACTGTGCATTCTCATTAGTTCCTGACTGACTCTGCACATTCTCATTGGCTCCCAACATCACTGCGCATTCTTATTGGTTCCTGTCTCACTCTGCACATTCTCATTGGCTCCTGACGACATTGCACATTCTCATTGGCTTCTTTCTGACTCTGAGCATTGTCATTGGCTCCTCTGTGACACTGCGCATTCTCACTGGCTTCTGACAACACCGCGCATTCTCATTGGTTCCTGACTGACGCTGCACATTCTCATTGGCTTCTAACAACACTGTGCATTCTCATTGACTCCTGTCTGCCTCTGCTCATTCTCATTGGCTCCTGTTTAACTAAGCACATTATCATTGGCTCCTGTCTGCCTCTGCTCATTCTCACTGGCTCCTGTCTATCTATGCTCATTCTCATTGGATCCTGTCTACCTTTGCTCATTCTCACTGGCTTCTGACAACACTGTGCATTCTCATTGGTTCCTGACTGACTCTGCACATTCTCATTGGCTCACAACGATACTGCACATTCTCATTGGCTCCCAATGACACTGCGCATTCTCATTGGCTCCTGTCTGACTCTGCACATTCTCATTGGCTCCCAACGACACTGTGCATTCTCATTGGCTCCCAACGACACTGTGCATTCTCATTGGCTCCTCTGTGACACTGTGCATTCTCATTGGCTCCTGTCTGCCTCTGCTCATTCTCATTGGCTCCTGTCTGCCTCTGCTCATTCTCATTGGCTCTCAACGACACTGTGCATTGTCATTGGCTCCTGTCTGACACCGTGCATTCTCATTGGCTCCTGTCTGCCTCTGCTCATTCTCACTGGCTCCTGTCTGCCTCTGCTCATTCTCATTGGCTCCTGTCTGCCTCTGCTCATTCTCATTGGCTCCTGTCTGCCTCTGCTCATTCTCATTGGCTCTCAACGACACTGTGCATTGTCATTGGCTCCTGTCTGACACCGTGCATTCTCATTGGCTCCTGTCTGCCTCTGCTCATTCTCACCGACTCCTGTCTGCCTCTGCTCATTCTCATTGGCTTCTGACAACACTGCACATTCTCATTAGTTCCCAACAACATTGCGCATTCTTATTGGCTCCCAACGACACTGCGCATTCTCATTGGCTCCTATGTGACACTGTGCATTCTTATTGGCTCCTGTCTGCCTCTGCTCATTCTCATTGGCTCCTGTCTGCCTCGGCGCATTCTCACTGACTCCTGTCTGCCTCTGCTCATTCTCATTGGTTCCTGTCTGCCTCTGCTCATTCTCACTGGCTCCTGTCTGCCTCTGCTCATTCTCATTGGCTCCTGTCTAACAATGCTCATTCTCATTGGCTCCTGTCTGCCTCTGCTCATTCTCACTGACTCCTGTCTGCCTCTGCTCATTCTCATTGCTTTCTGTCTGCCTCTGCTCATTCTCACTGGCTCCTGTCTCACTCTGCTCATTCTCACTGGCTCCTGTCTGCCTCTGCTCATTCTCATTTGCTCCTGTCTAACTATGCTCATTCTCATTGGCTCCTGTCTGCCTCTGCTCATTCTCACTGACCCCTGTCTGCCTCTGCTCATTCTCACTGGCTCCTGGCTGCCTCTGCTCATTCTCACTGACTCCTGTCTGCCTCTGCTCATTCTCATTTGCCCCTGTCTGCCTCTGCACACTCTCACTGGCTCCTGTCTCACTCTGCGCACTCTCACCATTACATTGTAATGGTCTGGCCTAAGAGTAGAGTTCGATGTTATTTGCAGTGTTATGCTCTATTCTGTAGCTCAGCATTGTATTCATCTACTTCATCAGCTTTACAAAATTGTTTTTGTTTTTACATTACATATCCCAGCATGCATAATCTCTAGCCACTGAGTCACTAGAGACTAATATATTGTTGTTGTACCTTGTATCTTCATTCTTTTTTTATTTTTGGACCATTTAAATTTGCCAACTGCCCTTTACATTGTTTCAAAATTTCATGACTAATGGTCAAATAGCAATGGTTCAAAAGTACATGGAATAAATAATTTCCATTAGAAGTTAAGAACATTCTCTCTTGTATAGTTACCTTTTTGGAGACACATTTTAGCTGGTTGTCTGGCCTAAGACTAGAGTTTGATGCTTAGGTTGTCAAACAAAATTGTAAAGAATACAGTGATTCTGTCTTTGTTCCATGCAAACTGGACACCAGAGACAGATTTTAAACCTTAACCATATTCACAAATTAGCATCTTTTTTCAAAAAAGAAAACCAACACAAAAACTGAGCTTTACAATTTATTGGCAATATTGACTTTACAAATTGTGAGCATGTTCAGTTTATCATGGCGAAGTCTGTACAAGAAAAACCTGATTCAGTTCATTTCTCTCGCTGCAGTAAGACTAGTTTCCTGCATAGTGGCCGAAAAAGTTTATTTAGAAAAAAAAAATGATAAAATTATGGAAAGGCAAATTGCATATACATTGATTCTGGTTTCTTTTATACAGACATAAACCAGTAATGTATCGTTGCCCATTTTATCTGTTTTGACGTTTATAAAAAGTCCACTGTAGCTGTTGCTTCCGCTTCACTATACAATAAATACAAACATGTATGTCAAAAACTAAGAATAGTTTAAAAGATAATCAATTATGAACACAAGCAAAACTTTACATTCCAGTAAAATAAACCAATGAAACGACACAGGAGCAAAAGAGACCCCGTCCGTAAGTGAGAGACTGTTGACAGACCAAACAAACAGGCTTATGTTGCAGACAGTGAATGTAAGCCGGCACCCACACATTAGTATGAAGCTATTTTTCAGAATGCTAACCGATGGCTATTCACTTTCATTCACTGTTAGCAACATTAGCATCATTGACTGAGCCATTGCTTTAACGTTCACCAAGCTGACCTGAGTGTTTCACTACAGACTGAAAACACTTCAATTATACGGTCTGACGATCTAAACATGGATCCAAATCTTGTTCATGACCGTTTTTCGATTCTGACACAGCTGGTTCAGAACAAACGGGACAAACCAATAATCTGTGTTGCTAAAGTAGCACCAGTGGTTTTAGCAAACTTGCACTAAATATTAAAGGACGGTGTACGGATCACGTCTGTTTAAGATGGCACTACATATTTAATCTACAATCTATAGGAATCATGAACCGTGTGGCCATAATGTAGCCCAGAATAGCCCTGAGTGTGGACAGCTTTGGTAGAAGAGAGGATACTGGGGGTGTTAAAGGAAAACTCCAGTGTTTTTCAACTTAATCTATACCTGCTGCAAGCGTAGACAATTAACACTGACAATGATTTCAACCTTTTTTCTTTCCTTAGAGCAGAAAAGAAAACCCACCAACTCAAAACACACTTATAATAGAAGCCAATGGGCAGTTACTAAATTACATCAGCAAAAATTTACACAAAACATGTATCTTTGGAGACCACTTACATGAAGTTTTCATTGAAATGTAAGTTTTAAATGAATACCAGAAAATGTTTGAGAAGGAAAAAGTAACCAGGACTGCTTTCCGGTATTGCTCTTGCATTGAAAAGTTGGATAAATCTTCATAAGAACAGCTTTGGTAAGACATTCTGTCAGTCTCTCATCCCAACACCCGAACAGTTAAGAGTGGAACAGCTGTAGTTTCAAATTAGTGTCATATTTTGTGTATATCATACATTTATTCAGCAATTTACAATTCAGCAACTACCCACTGGCCTCTATTATGAAGGGGTTCCAAGTCAACACTTTTTGTTGTTTTTAAATACAAAGAAAAAAAAAAAGAATGAAACTACTGTCCATGGTAATCGATCATATGATATAGATGCGACAGATACACAACAGGTTGAAAAATGCTGAAGCATGCACTGTGCAAAAATGATAAGTCTTTAATCAAGTAGAGAGAGAGAGAGAGAGAGAGAGAGAGAGAGAGAGAGAGAGAGAGAGAGAGAGAGAGAGGAAACATAATTTGCTGCTGCTCACCTTGTCACTTGTCAATCTAGCGAATGTAACTGTGGCTCAGAGTGTGTCAGGGAGGACTCTGACTTCAGATGTTTACCTCCAACATTTTGAGATTCATCCATATCTGGTCCTACATTCTAAATTTTTATTTGTTTTTGATCTTTTGTGTAAAAAAAGTATTCAAGCTTCATCCGAAACATCAGTAATAGATCAGAATACAAACCAATCTGACGAGAAAGCGATCAGAGCAGGATAAGTGCAAACAGGTACAGACTGTCTGAAGAAACAGAGGTTGAGGGGAATTCTGGGTGAAGGGTGAGTGGTGAGGGGCCGCATAATTAGCAGAAATGGCAGGAGAAAAAGGTTGAGAGTTTAAAAAAAATTGTTGTCAGACTTCTATCTTGTTCCTGAGCTGATGGAATCCACTTTAGCCAAACTGGAAAAAGAAATTTCCAGGTGCAGAGTCTAAAAGGGAAAACAAAGCAGTGTCAGTAATGTGATAAGGACATTAGGTTTGGTTGTTACTCTATTTGAAGGATAAATTAATATATTGCCGCATTGGTTACAAACCAAACGTATACTGACTTGTTTCAAAGCTGAAATTTCCAGGTCCACCAAAGAAGGCCTTAAAGATGTTGTTGGCATCGAAATCTGGAGGGTAAAGAAAGGAAAAGAATAAGAAAACTGTAGAAAGTGCTTATTTCGTTTTCATGATATATTTATGACGGAGCTCTTTACTGCCAGAATACAAAAAGCTAAGGCTATAACAATGCTATTTTAATTCAATACAATTATGAATGTTTCCAGACTAGAATTAGGTGTTCATTTTCCTGAACTTAAGAGTTTAAAGCTAGTTCTGTTTGTGGATAGCTGCTGGAAATTGCAATATATGGAACAACGCTGTGCTTTGGACCTGATGTGACTATAAATGTGTTGAGATAAAAGAAAAAAGAAAAAGGGAAAAAAAAATAAATTCAGAACAAAATTGGTGAAAAATGTGTCTTCCAAGAATGTAATCGAATGATCTATTATCATACCTTCATCAGTATGTTGATTTTGCATTTGACACCTCTGACTTTTAAAATGTAAAATTTTAAATTTAAAATTATTTCAGGCTTTACAGGGTGACTTGCAGCAGCACTCAGTAACGCTACTCCTTTCAATTTTAACAAAGAAATCTTACACAGTGCAGCTTTAAGGCATTTGAATAAAAGCATTTATTGAGAGTTGAGATTGTATTTGCTAATATTTTCCTATTGAATTGTTTATAGAAGGTACTGTATTCACAGAATGTACAGATTGTCTGTTCTGGATATGCCTCATGTCGATTACTTCTGTAATATTAGAGAGCATATACACTGAGATGCCATTTTATTAGGTACCCATATGTTGTATCTACACTCATTGGCCATTTTATCAGAAACACTTACCATATAAGTGCAGTTTGTAGGTATACAATTACTGACTGAAGCACATCTATTGCTGCCCAATTTATCAGGGCCCCTCTAGCCTGTTTATCATTATAAAGGGACCACCGTATGAACCACACTGACCAGATATTATTTACAGGGACTCCGACATGGCAGTGGCATAGCAGTATGTGAGGTGCCTATCAGTGTATGCTACAGTTTTGCACGTCAATGTCGCTGCTATGCTGAGAGTGGACCACCAACCACAGATTTCCAGCCAAGAGCAGCTCTGTGGTCAGAAACCCATCAGTGATACGGTCAGAGGTTGGTTAACACCAATTGTGCATCAACAGATGAGCCACAGTCTCTAACTGTACACCAGCAAGGTGGAGCTACAAAGCAGGGGTTTGTAAAAGTGGATGAGAAGTGTGCACAGTATGTAAACTCCCCCCAGAGTGCCTGGCTGGTAAGTCGAAGTACATATAAGGACACTGTGACTGACCTCCCATGCCGTCATCGTCCAGGTCTTGGCCGCTGTCATAACGAGATTTCTTCTTGGGGTCGGACAGCACAGTGAAGGCCTCACCCACTTCCTTAAACTTCTTCTCCTCCTCCTTCTGAACCTCAGCACTTGCTCCGCTGTGCCGGTCTGAAATCGCACAGGAAATATAAGCGTGACTGAATGATATTTTAGGGTCTGTTTGGGGACAAGGGATTTGGGGGTTTGGGGATTTAAGGTTGCTCTTAGAAAGGCTAGTGATCTTTGACTGGTCACTCATGAGGTCACAAGCCATGTTTCCGTCCAAGGGATTTTTACCCCAATGTATGCAAACAAGCTGTTCAGCACCAAAAATCACAAATATATTTAACACATTTACATTTTTATTGCTTGCAGAAAGTCGATGGAAATGTAGCTACAGTGATATACCTACAGTGTTAGTTTCAACTTCACACTTTCTGTTAAGAAACATAACTAAAATAGCATTTTTATCATCATAACATTGCACGTCGCTGTTCGTCATCCAAGCAATGCCGACTCTGAGCAGTTTTCAAAGCACCTAAACAAATCCCTGCACCTTAAACACACTGGTAAATGAAGTTACTTGGATAAGCTGAAGTGAATATCCTGTGAATGAACGTATGCGAGTTTGAGTCTGTGTGTGTGTTTTACCTGGGTGGTGCATGAGGGCACGTTTGCGGTAAGCCTTCTTTATCTCATCCTCTGTTGCATCCTTGCCGACTCCAAGGACCTTATAGTAGTCTTTCCTTTTGCTTTTCTTCAGCTCTAACTGAGCATTCTTCAACAAAGTTTTATGTTCTGAAAAACAGATGGAGAGTAAGAGAAGAATACAATTTACAATTGAAGAATACTATTAGTTTCACATGCTTATAGTTTTTTTTTCCCCACACTTGTCAGTGTACAGTTGCCATTATACTCAGTTAGGACTATCACCATGAAAAATAATGAAACTGAAGAACAAAGAAACTAAATAGACATGTAAGGATGCCTGAGGTTTTGCATACAACTCTACATTTCTCAATATGAAGTGAAATGAATATGTATACATATGTTCTGAAAATTTGAATATCAGTTAATAAACAGACAATTTGGTCCTAAAATCTGATTATTTGAGCCAAATCTGAAGCTGTTGTATCATCATCATTATTATTATGTATATGATAATTCATAGGGACTAAATTCAGTATTAACGCGACTAAAAAATACTTGTACTGTTACAATAGAACAATCCTTGGCTGTGATGTTGCTTGGTGACCATCGGCTACTGTTAAACTACATCATTCAAATGAAGAATTGTTAACTGTTTTTATTATTAACAATGAATTATGTTTTAAACATTGCTGTATTTGATCATACTGTATTTAATAACCAATAATACACCTGAGATTAAAATTTAAGTAATTCTCATATCCTGCTTGAAATCCCTTAACATGAGCAAATTCACCATAAGTTACAGTCTACAGTGGATTATGGTTTTATTTTCCAATAAAATAATGTTTTACCTTTCGTCTTTTCTGTATGGTAGACTTTCTCGTAGTCCCGAACAGCTTCTTCGTACTGCTCCAAGTCCATATAACTACAGAAATCACACAAGTGTCAGCATGTTGCTGCTATGGAGAGCAAACTGCAGCTCAGAGTAAACTGTATCTCACCACTGCGCTCTCCTCAGGTAGGCTTTAATGTAGCTCTCATCCAGTTTGATGGCACTGCTGCAGTCCTCAATGGCCTGCTCCCGTTTATTCAGCTAGGAGAGAATAGAAACATACACATAGGTATACATATAAATACTTGGATTTTAGTACAATATAGTACATAATACTTTCCAATCTGATACTATCAGGTATATGTACACAATGCTTTTCAGTTTGGAAAGTTTTCAATAAATCTACTTTAGTTTTAATTAATGTGTAGGATGGTGTTAAATATGAAATATGAGATGGAGATGTGTCCAGAATAATGAACAGTGCTGTAGGTGATTCTAAAATGACTGAGAAAGTTACAGAGCATCAAAAATGAAGTTATAATTAAATTAACATCCAAATCAAACTTATAATACAATTAATTTAGCATTAAGTTTTAACAAAAATAATATTCAAAATGAAGCTATACTAAAAATCCTTATTCAGGATGAAGGTATAATCAAATTAATATGGAGAATGACTTGATTGATTTGGAGGCAGACAACTTGACAAAAACATTACTTTAACTGAAGTCCATGTAAAGCAGTAATAAATATGTGGTCTGAGTTTGTCACACCACAGATAAACAAGTTATTAACCACTTAGACACTTTTGAATGATTAAAAAATTTCTTTCAAAGCAGTGAAAAATTAATAAACGCTGGGGGTGTGTCTACTGAAGGCGCTGAAGCCCTAATCACGGGAAAGGTACAGATTTCACAGACTTCGTATTCGCCAGAATGTAACTGCTGCAAGGTGGAGCAGAAAATCTAAACTAGAAGATGGCGAATAATAAGCTAGCACAAACATACAGAATTAACTTTAATTTCAGTGTAGCCTCTTTCATTTCACTACAACCTGTAAAACAGATGCTCCATCTTGTAGCTTTATTGGACCTGTACAGCTACACACCTTGAGCCACCAGAGCCAGAATCCAATTCGGAACCAGAGGACACTGATCTACCCGAAAATCAACCTTGTTCATCTCAGTCAGCAACAGAATTTTGTTTTTATTTATTTAAGTTTGCAACACGTATTACTGACTAGCATAGCCTAGCCAAATAAAGTTAGGCTCTCAATCAATAACAGAGAACAAAACACACTTTGCAATCAGGCCAGAGAACCACTGATGCTAATGCTCTCTAGTTTTTATGATGTTAGAATTAGGGGAGAGGTCATGATATGTATGTTTCCAGTGCATCGCTGAGCCTTGAATTCAGGCCCACCCAAAAAAACATAACACAACTGAAATTATCTATCATTTCAAAATACCTAAAATACTGTATAAAACATCTAAACCCTTCTGGTGTGATCAGAGAAAAGCAAATGAAAAGTAAACGCACCTTGGCCCCAGCGGTGGCTCTGTTGCAGTACAGCTTGGCGTTGGTTTTGATGTTGTTGGGGTCTATGGTCAGGGCCTCTGTGTACAGTTGATATGCAGCATCATAGTCACGATCCTTAAAGGCATTATTGCCCTCCTCTTTCTTTGCCTTCAGAGCTTTAGCATTCTGAATGGAAGACAATTCCCTTAGAACTCAATATACCCAACACCACTGTTAAATATAGTTACATAGTTGTTTGGAAGTTCAAAATAAGAGCATTAAAGTACAGAGTAACAAGGCAAACATTATTTCTTGACTAGATAACATTTAAAACAACTTTTTAGCAGATGAGCTTTGCTTATTTCATTGGTCTACTGTGTACAAGAACTGAACAAGAACCACAGCAGGCGGAGCCACAAGACGCTGCCTTTCAAACCCAATTTCCCGACTCTGCTTCTCTTCTTTTATTTAGACATTTTAGCATTGCAGATCTTTGCTCATTAGAGGTAAACCAGAGATAATACCACCAAAAGGAACTTACTCTGCATGCTAGACGAGCTTTCTCGTGATCAGGTGCCATGCGCAGAGCCTGCACGAAAAACTGAACAGCCTTCTCGATGCAGTCCTCATAATAAAGACACAAACCTCGCACATACAGGGCGTCAGCGTTAGTGGAGTCCATCCTCAGGATATCACTAAGACAGACGGGGTAGTCAGTCACATGAATTAGAGAATTCAGCAGTAGCAGAAAAAGTACACAAATATTCTGCAGATGAGAAAAGAGAGATTTACCCACCGTAAAACATTAATAAAAGTGATCCTTTATTTATATTTTTACCCAATGTCAAGAACCAGGCACTAACTTTTAATAGTAAGCATCAATAGCATGAGTTATAATTTATTAGTTATAATGTTATTTTATAATGATGAATCTGTTAAGCAGACGTGTGTGCGATTGCAAATGACAAATATGAAACACAGTTTAAAATACCTCTAAAGTCATAAATGAAAACACAAAAAATATTGAATAAATAGTACGTTGTTCCGTTTTGTTATGCCAAGGAAACTACTAAAGCGGCACAGAAGCATCTTTAACACTCATGAAGAATGTGAAAACCTATGAATATGCATGATTATGTAAATGGCAAAAGCCCTGCTTGCTCTCCATTTTTGAACCCCACCCTCCCCCCACTACCCTGCACACTATGTTTAAGAGATGAGGCAAAAACAAAAATAAGCTTCAAATGTAACTTTAATAATCAAAAAGATTTTGCCTTTGTCACTCCAGCACCAGTACCTCCATTTGATTTGATCAGATTTGAGTCTTTATCCTCTCAACTCGCCTTAGTGCAGTGCAAAAACACTGGCTTACTTGCACAGACTTGTTTCTTTATTTCTTCAGTTAGCCGGAATGAACCTACATGAATCCGCTGTAAGGCCTTCTCACTAAGCTAATACTATCTTCCAGTGCTAATGTCTAGTGGCGCAGTCGCCGGCCCATGCTTTAGCTCAACCTGGAGGTGTTACTGTAGGTCATGAGGGCTGAGGCAACTGGGAGAGGAGCAACGAGTTCTCTCTCCCTCTCGGATCGGCTGCTCATTCTGCTCTTAACCGAAACGCTGTTTTGGCATCGGCAACATGCGGCTCGCACCTGTATTTTCAATGGAAATATGTGAACTCTGTGCTACTGTATCACATCTGACACACATATCCAAAAATAGGCAACCTTTCCTGTTTATTACCCTAAAGTTGTAGTTTCTTTCTAACTTCTAAATGGGTGTAACATAAAATAAAATCAGCCATTTAAACAGAGTTGTTCGCATCAATTTTTGTTACAGTTTAGAGAATCAAGTTTCTCCTCATCAGTTTCAAACTTAAAGTGAAACTCAAAACTGATCTTTTTTTTACCTAGTTAACCATCTTGTTCCTGGCAATATTAAGGATGATTCATCATATCATATATTTTAAAAGACTAAACTCTTGTAAGAATTATAATGATCAATGTCTTTAGTTTTGAAACATCACTGTGCACCAGTGGGTGGGGAAAGATAATATTATCTAGAAACATCATGTTTCACCTCCCCCTCCCACCCATCATTAAAAGAAATGCCCAGCGAGCTCAAAGACCCTCCCTGATATTGTTTCACAGTACAGAAGGAAAACGCACCATGATTTCTGATTCACACTGACTACAAGTATCAACACAGAGAGTTGAGTACCTGGCCACAGACTGGGCTTCATGGTATCTCCCCAGCAAAGCCAAACATTCCGCCTTCAAGATCTTAAATTTGTGACAGGCACTAGCGAACTCCAGCGCCCGATCCATGCAGAAAACCACCTACACAGCATGGAGGCAGAGAGAGACACACAGGAACCAATAAGGTAGTGAAACAAACCTTTGGTCAGGATTGTCTAGAGGACCACAAACTGAAGACACTGAAAAAAAGGTAAATATGAAAACATTCATTGATTACACTGTGTGATTATTCCTGAATCTAAGGACAGAACAAACAAAAATACTCACTAAAATTTGGATTAAATGATGGATATTTATTCTGCCTCTTTGATTACTAATGAGGACGCAAAGCAATGCAACTAACTTACAGGGGTTAAATATATACAAATAGTTTGACCGAACATGCTAACATGGTTAACAGTGACTGGAATCGCTGCACTGTATTGTTCATTTTTTGTTAAAGCAACATTACCATTAGCTAATACAACATCACACAGTGCAACATTATCATTTTCTGTCTGATCTTTTTCTTTAAAGTTACCACCATACCTTTCTGAAGTCCCTCTTCTCAAATCCATACTCGGCCATCTTCTCAAACTCCAACAGAGCTGCTGCATTTTTGTGCTAAACAAACCAAAACAAAAATCTCAAAAACATGATTCACTTGCGGTACATTCTTAAAGCCACGGTTCAGCCAAACATCTAATTTACAGTTTCCCCCCATGCCAATGTAGTCAATCTGCCAAGACATGAAAGTTTGCTTCTTTAGTTTTGCACTGGAGCTAAGTGGCTAACAAAGCTAACAAGAAATGGAAGGTTAAAGCTAAATAGCCTTGTGCAAACTGCATCAAACTCAGGCATCAAATAGTGTTGAGTTGTTAAGCAATCATAATAAATAATACAAATAATAAATAAATTTTCTGACACTGCTTGACACACTTTTCTTTAAAAACGGAGAAAAGTACAGACAAATTTCAGACTTCAAGACAGCTGCTACTACTGTCTCAGATGCATCACATACTTTTACCCTATTTTATAAACAACCTTTCATCACCTGTTAGCTACAATAGTTAGCCTCATAACTCCAAAACAAATGTAAAAAACCGAACATGTCTTGGGGAGTGGCAGGAGGGGAAACTATTCTATAAGACTACCTCTTGTAAGGCCTGAGTGTTGGTGGGATCCAGTTCCAGAACTTTCTGAAAGCAGCGACTGGCGGCCATGGCATTGCCCAACGATAAATGGCACTTCCCTTCTCTGAGGTGGCCCTGTAAAACACACCGATACACACCGTGTTACACCAGAGACATTATTAGGGGGGACAGTCACTGTTTGAAAAATGAATGGTAAAACTTGTAACACTCAAAATGAAGCCCGTTTAGAGCAAAAGTCCCGCCCTTCAAGATGAAGAGCCAATCAGTTGCTGGTTACGTTGCAAAATAACTGCCCCATGGCATTGCAAAGATGGCCACTGAGTGAATAGAGTCCTTATAGGAAAGGTCCTATAAGGATTTACAGGAAAGGAAGGAAGGTTATGCTGTCCAAACTACATATGCAGAACCATGCTGAAGAGAGCGAACGCTTATCGACTCTAGTGGCAGTGTTACACCTAAACTGTGAAAAACATACATGCAAGAATTTATATAACATCCAGCCTAACAAGCCTAGCATCAGTGACTGCAAAGGTAACATGCTGTTAGAGAGATGTTCTCTTAAAACAGCTGTTATAACTCTACATCACACTAACTGCCTGAGACAAAGACACAAATTACATCCTTCAAGAGTGGAAATTAATATCTGTATAAATTTGATCTCAACCAACATTCCAGATGAGCAAATGTGTGTCGAATTGTGCACCTTACACATTTACTTAACAGTAATTGTGAAAGACAAACTGCAGACAGGCTGCTAAATATATCAGCTAAACTTAAATATATTACTGATATGTTTTCTATCATTATTTTATACTGTATTTTGCAGAAATCATGCTTATTTGCACTTTAAGAAATGCATGTATTTGTTTCTTTCATGGCAAATGGTGCTAAGAAGGAACCACAAAACTAAGAATTTCATTGTACAGTAAAACCCATGTTAGAGGGCTGCACATGCTTGAACTGAATCACGAACACGACTTGCAGTCCCGACTTTGAGACCCTACCGGAGCAGACCTGAACGGCAGTGCTAAACTTGAAACCCAAACCCATTCGCGCACTATAAATGAGAGCATTATCGCAGACACTGCGGCTTGAGTTAATCGGCAGAAAACTGATAGTCCCACTGCTCTAAAGTTCCTCACGCTACGGCTGCTACTGCTGAAATATGCTACAGACTTAACAAGCAAGGAGAAAGACCCCTTGTGACCTTTCCACCAACCCAACACATCCCTGTAATAATCCATGGAGTGAATGAGACTGATCCCTGGTTTTGTTCAGGGGCACAGTGGAGACAGACAGAGCGCAAAGTACAAGAGAGAAAAAAGCATGAGAGCACGTGAAATGTATATAGCTATTATACTTTGAATAAAAACAAATATTCTAGATAAAAGTCCCCTAGCCAGACCCTGCATATGAAAATCATCCTGAACCCAGCCCAAAACACGATATATTTCATATGGATATGAATGCATGTGTAATCGAAAGTTATGTGACTAAATGGATTATCCAGCTGAAATAAGTCAAAGAGAAAATACTAAAAAGAAAAAACGTATCTTCCAAAATATCCTCAAAACATCAACGTTCCACCCACAAATACATTATTTCATAGCTACTGTTGTGAGGTTGGCCAAGCTTTTACAGAATGTTGGCTAAATATTTGCTTTTAATCTATTAAGAAATTGTAGTGTGTTTTGTTTAGAGATGCTTCCAGTTTAAAACGCTACACTACTGAGCTAGACGAAGTTCCTGGAGCTAACTGAAAAGAAACTGGAAAAGAAAGTGATGACAAATTTGCCTGCATGTTAACTTTAATCTGATAACATGACACAGAAATGCAGCCAAACTGTTCACATATTTTGCAGAAGAGTGTAACGCTGTTGCTGTTACGCTGTAAGAATATTTGCCCTCGCACCTTCGTGAAGCAGTCATCCAGCCGAACTGCCTGCTGGGAGTCCTCCAGCGCCTCTCGGAAACGGCTCAGCATCATCAGGGTGGCTGCGCGGTTACCATAGTAACTGGCGTTCTTAGGGCACGCATCTGTCAAAACAGCAAATGGATGTTTTACATTGTTTCTGTATTCCAATTAAGATAAAATTCACAGACTTAATCTCTGTTTACACCTTGCATTAACGTGTTTTTGGTGATCGGATCATGTTCGGATTTTACTTGACTGCATGAAAAACCAGGTGTAAACACCCCCAGGACGCACTGCGATCGGATTATGATAGGATTACTCAAACCACATTTGGAGGTGATCAGAGATACAGTTAAGGGGGTGAAAAAAGACGCGTCTGCCGAGCACCGACTGGCAGCTGAGAGAATAAACAATGAAACGAAAGGTGGAAGATAAGCAAGGCTAAAGTTATGCCCTTCATGCACCCCAGACCGATGAAAGTGTCCAAATCAAGACTGCTGACTCATATGGTAACGGGGAAAAAGAGTAAACAAAGGTAAAATGGAAACTATGTATGTACAAACATGCTTTTTATGCTGGAAAAGTACAATCGGATCTCATACGGTCACACAGGATATGCATTTTAGTGAACAGAATGGGATCTGGCCAAAGTTTACCCAGATACGATGCAGATACAAAACACATGTTAATGCAAGGTCTAAACAGGCATCAGTAACATTTCCCATTTATTGTCAGTGAGACCATGATGTTACGAGTGCTGAGCTCCACCCATAAATACATTCAAACTGTTGAACAAACTGAAAATTTCACATCTCTCTTACCGATGGCTTTTGTGTAGTAGTTGAAAGCTTCTGAGTATTCTTTCTTAATGTAGAATGCATTTCCCTTCTCCTTGAAAATTTCTGCCTCCCTAATAACAGGAAAAAAAGGAACAGATTCAGTTAAACAGCTTTACAGTTTCAGTGATGCCTGCTAAGGATACGTCCAACATGAGTTGCTTTATTTTACTATATAGTTAAAAAGAAATCAATATTATTCTTGCATTTTGCATCAAAAGATTTAGAAAAAAATCAAAAACTATGCCATGTCTCCCTAATTTCTAGTGAAACACGTCTTTCTTCTTCCCCTCTTGTGGCTGAGCCCTTTGATATTACTCATTCAGCTGGCACCCGCAAGCCTTTTGAGTCGATGACGTCAGTAAACGGACTAAAGATTCCAGTTGTTCTGCCTCCCAGTACGCCTGGATATTGTGTAAAATTCACAGAGGAATTGCTCCAAAGGTAATACTTGTTTCATGCTTCCGAGGCTGATTTCCCAGCTGAGAATAAGTGACTTGTGGTCATCTTTGTCGACACAGCATTCAAATCAGTGAAAAGCAGAAAAAGCCAAGTCTCCAGACCCAACCTGGCTGTGAAGTCATGGCCCAGGAACATCAAGTACTGGGCCAAGACTGGAAGCCGGGCAAGGCAAATAGCAAGGTCCGGTACCCAGACAGAACACGGCAGTGTTGTGCCCCCTCTAAACAGCCCCTACACATCTTCAAATACCAATTACAAGAAGTGACCAGACATTACTTCCCCAAAATAACAAAGAACAGTGATACCAGACCTGTCAACAGACCTCCTCCGGACACTTAGGTAAAATGGCATGACCGAAGGTACAAAGAAAGACGCGGGTCAAAGCGGCGATGCCAGGCTGGTGTAATGGGCAGCGTTAAACCGAGAATGACCACTACAAAGACTGTTCTCTCAGACAACTGTGGTGGGTCACAGAAATGGGTCATTTCGTCTGAGGCTTTCAAACGGCTTAACGTTAGTAGGTCATGGGCTGGCACTGTGGTGGTCGTGTTTATGGCCTCTTCAGCTCAGACTGTGGTCACTGTTTTGGGGAATTTCTGGTTCCATTTCTTATTTCACCCATTATTCTTTGTAGTTAGATATTTTAAGATATTTTACTATATCCTAATTTTACAAACCTCCTCGAGTTTACTTTGTGAAGCAGTCTGGGGCGCTACATCGTAATATAGGTGCTATATTAATGAATATTGTTCATTTATTGTTACTTTGAATGCTCTGCTCATGTTATTTCTTAACCCAATGCCTCATCTTCACGGCTCCTCTTGTTCATTTACAGGTTGTCACGTCGCTAAAAACGGATTTATTCAACAAAACAGTGAGTATTTCTGAAACCTAAGACGTTTAATCTGTTGTGTGGTGTTTATAGGATCGATAATACCTCAGATTGAGGTTCACGGACGCTACATCTCCCATTAATCCACGTTTTCAGCGAGTTTTTATGAAGTGTCGATAGTTGGTGCTGTACGCCGTTAGCATGGTTAGCATGGTTAGCATGTGTGCTAACTCAGGCCATAGAAGCCACTAGAAATCCGGTGGCCACAGCGGTCTGAGTAAACCGAGCTTTCGCACTATTCTAACCATTTAGAGTCGTATTTTGACACAGTAAACACTTCTAAAAGGGCTGTCGAGTGTTTTATGTTTGGTTGGACTCGTTTACCAAGTTGGCTTCCTGTTCGCCAGCCTCTTATTCCAATGTCCCGTTCCACCTTAAATGTGTAGCATTTACTGAAGCACCAGAATGTAAATGCTGCATATTTAAGGTGGAACGGGAAATTCGCATTAGCAGCTTCGTAAAGGAAAGCTTTTTTTTTCTAGCAAACTGGAAGTAAGTCAGCGTTTCAAGGTAGCTAGTTAACCAACAGCGTTAACTAAACACCCCAGTTCCAGCCAAAACACACGCTGAAGACGATAATAGCACGAAACGTCGGAAAGGCTGTAAAACGTGAGCTGTAACTTTAACCTCGTTGCCCTGATGAAAACACGACAACATGAACGTTAAGCCCTCAATTCCCAGTCAGAACCAAAACGTACGACGACTGTCTTAAAATATGAGATACACATCGTTAAGGTGAAGCTGCCTTCAGGGTTAAGCACCTCTCCAGATCCTCCTGCGGTGGTATGTTACTCTCCGGCTCCACCGGCATATCACAGTCCACAGCTGCCATGTTGTTCTTCCACAGGGTAAAAAAAAAAGAGCCAACATCCGGCGCTGTTGCGTCACGAAGAAAACGGCGAGCTGCATTACGACGCAATAAATAAAATGCCCGTCATAAAATGATGTCATTACGACACCTACCTACCACGTGCTTCCGATGTTTGTCCACTTTATGAGCTCTAGGTCCACTATAAACATGGGTACAGTAGCCCATCTATTGCTTTACGGTATATCAGGGGCAGGGGTGAAAATCCCCGAAATGTTTACGCAATTAAATGGTTATGATGTAAACAAAGTGGTCCAGGTTGCTTTGGTGCGAAATGTTTCATACTAGAGAAACTTACAGACTCAGATTTCTGTACAGTGGTGGTGATAGGAACCAGACATCGACATGTCTACAACTTGAATGTAGCCATTTTATTTACTATCCAAAACCACTGGTGAACCTACACGTGTCTTCAGAGTGTTTATATGTAATGTTAACGATGGTAAATAAAGGAAAATCTAGAAACAGAGTTTTTGAGTGGCTACTTTGCTTTGTAACGGACATCAGGCAGCATATTTAAGGGACTGCTTTGCCTTGTCTCAGACATCAGGCAGCATATTTACCCTTTCATGTAATAACTTTCTGTGAGGGATATATGCTTCAAAACATTTAATTATTAAAAATAATGTGGTTGTAAATTCTGTGACATAAACACAACTTTGTAGTCAAAAAGAAGTTACAATTTAGGCTGAATCTCAAAAAAGATGTCAGACAACTGTATGTGAAATCTTATCCTTTATTCATATAGCTCTTATTTTGTGTTATAGTTTTGCTGTGCGCTGTCGACCAGAGGAGGATGGGTTCCCATTTTGATTCTTGGTTCTTCTCAAGGTTTCTTCCTCTTGCTCTTACGGAGATTTTTCCTTGCCGCTGTCGCCCTTGACTTGCTCAACTAGGGCTTTGACCTAGGTTTTCTGTAAAGTTGCTTTGTGAGAGCGGCCGCTGTAAGAAGTGCTATATAGATAAATCGTAACTTGACTAGACACATGTCAAAAGGTCTGGATGGCTGCACATGTTGCTCCAAAACCCGTATATATTGTTCAGTGCCTTCACAGATGTCACCCATACCATGTACATTAATGCACCCCCATACCATCATGGATGTTGGCTTTTGAACTGTGTGGTGATAACTACAATGCCGGATTTCCAAAGAGAATTTCACATTTTGATTCAGGACACTTTTCCACTTCGCAGAAATGAGCTCGGGCCCAGAGAAGGTGGCGGCGTTTCTGGATCATGTTTATATATGGTTTCTTTTTTGCATGATAGAGTTTTAATTGCCTTAGTGGATGCAGTGACAAACTGTGTTTACAGACAGTGGTTTTGAAAAGTGTAGTGATTTTCACTACAAAATCTTGTCTGTTTTTAATGCAGTGTGACTTGAGGGCCCAAAGATCACAGCCATCCAATATTAGTTTATGGCCTTGTCCCTTGCATACAGATATTTCTCTGAATCTTTTAATGATATTATGTATTATAGATGATTAAATCCCCAAGTTCTTTGGTATTTTACATAGAGAAACATTGTCTGCCCTAGCAGAATTCAGCTAGTAAGGCAAGTTACTGGCAGCCAATCAGAGTGCAGGATACCAGCAGCCAGTCAGCAGAGTTCAGCCAGCCAATCAGAACACCAATCAGATTCGCCTCAGTTATTTGTAGGTTAAGGTTATTTGATCTTGTAATGTCTGAATTATTTTAGGTTGCAGTTTTGGGGTTGTGCATTGTGCTTGTAGTGCACTGGTCTAGACAAAACCCCAGGGCTGAATTTACTTCCCAGTGTAGCCCTGGTAGAAACGGCATTCTTCTCTCTACACATACCTTACCGTTGGCTCAACTTTTGTCTCGTCAGACCACACAATGTTGTTTCAGTATTTTGTCCTAAATATTCCAGACTTGACTAGATGTGAACTTTTATGCAACTTACTTCCAAGGTCTTTTGCTGTTTGTTTTGGATTCCTCCAAATCTCTATAACAAATTTCTTTTTTTTGTTTTATTTTTCTAGGTCTTTCACTCCTTGTGTCTCTCCTTCTTCCACTTCTTGATTACATTCTTTAATGGTGATGGTAATCCTACATGTTTACAGCTCGTAGAAAGTCACTCATCACAAATGAAGAGTACATTGATTGACACTGTGATGTATTGTTGTCCACAGACCAGGAGGGGGCAGTAGCAGTGCTGAAGATTAGCTGAATGTGGAGAAAAGGCCTGGAATGTAACTGTCCAGAGCCATGGAGCAGGAGGAAGGTAGGTAAATAATTAGTGAGAGGGTGAGTGAGAGTGTTCTGTACAAAGGAGAAAATATATATAGGCCTACATGTAAAGAGAGAGAGAGAATGGCAGGGAGAGGGAGAGAGAGAGAGAGAGAGAGAGCGAGAGAGTGAACTGCTTTGGTGAATATTTCTCACTTGGCTGCGTCTGTCAGGTGGTCTATAGCTTCCACATAATTAATGCTAAAACATGCAACAGCATAAGCATGTGTATGGTTTCTCAGCAGAAGTGGGGGGCTGGTCATTTTACTCCACATGTATACCTGTGGACCCCGCTCCATGAGCTAGCACAATTAATTCAATTCAGTCACTAATGAACAACCTGCTTGTGGGCTGGGTCGGGTGTGTTGAGCAGAAAACACAAAAATATGCAAAGCATGGGGTCTCCAGGACCGAGTACAGGACTACTGCAACACTCACCACCAAACAAAGAAAACACATAATTCATGCATTAAAACTTTAATTACTTTTGTATGTTTTAATGATGATACTTTTTTGCTTTCACTCAGATTATATTAGTATATTATTGGCTCCTTACATCCATTATTAACTGAGTATGATTTTGACAATCAATCTTAAAGGGGGATTCCACCAATTTTTCAACGTTTCTGCATAATTAAATCATATACGTGAACAAAATCATTCAGAGTGCTTTGGTGTAAAATGCTTTGTTCTAGAGAAACTTGTTCTTGTCTGAAACTCATGGCTGAGCGTATATGGACAGAAATGATTAAACAAAGCAGGTTTGGCTGCAGATGGCAGTAGAGCACTTTCATTTTGTCAAGGAATCTATAACCATGACAGGCTTAACACAAGGCCCTTAAAACACACTGCTCTGTTGACAACACACTGCAAATAAGTGTTGTGAAGTGCGAGCAGTGATTCTTGTTTTTTTTTTATGTCATGTAGTGTCCACTTAGTCATAGCATAAAACATGCAGTATTGACTACTTGCAGGGGAACTCTATAGATTTTTTTTAAATGTAAGCATAATTAAATGGTTGAGATGTAAAGAAAGTCATTCAGAGTGGATTGGTGTGAAACGTTCCGTTCTAGATAAACTTACTGAGTCAGAATTGTTTACAGTGGTGGTGATAGGAACCAGATGTCCACCTCTAAAAACTCCCTCATGGAAAGTTATTTCACGAAATGGTTCGATATATGCTATCTGTTGTATGAGACATTGTTTTATGAAAGTTTTGAGAAGGTTTTGGTCTAAAATGTTTTTATTTCAATCCATTCATGGTGGAGAGGCACATGCGAGGTGTTCTAAGGTGAAATAGTCCCCCCAAAAAATACTATTTTACCATCAACATTACAGATAAAATAGGTTCACTGCTGGTTTTGGATAGTAAAGAAAATGGCTAAATTTGTGTTGTAGACATTGTGACCCCTGGTTCCCATCACCACCACTGTAAAGAAATCTGAGTCGGTAAGTTTCTCTACAAAGAATCATTAGAATGAATTTACTTCTCAAATCTTGAATCACGCATTTTTTGAACAGTCAGTGGAATTTCCTCTTTAAGCAATAGTCCACTTGTAGTTCTCACCCTTACCTGTGATAAACCACTGCAACAAACAGCTGCAGTGTCTTATTGCTTTAGTAGTCACTTTTCTCTGTTTAATGTTAAGACTAAGTGGCTTTTTGCTTCTATGTAATGGACAATGTAAAATGTCATAAAATACACAAGTTTTCAATAAATGATTTAGATTATTACTAATAATAAGACAAAGAAATGTTTTAATATTTATAGTATGTTCAGTCACCTGTCAATGTGTATTGCCATCATTTCATGAACTTTTTAAAAGTCTGTCATACAGTAATAAACATATCATAATATACCACTGTTTAATTCAAAAACCTTTGCCTTTTGAAATGTGTTAATCTCCTAAATAAAAAACACTCTTACTTCTTTAATCACTTAGTATGCACATTAATGCACTGCAAATATACATGACATATACATACACTGCCAACATCTTCAGTTGCACATATTGCATATGGCCCATTCTACTGAATTAGTTCAAATGGTGACCCAACAGTGAAAAAAAACTACATAAAAAAAAACAATAAAGTATTCAGACATTAGATATTTACAACGGTTATGTTGGCTGGCTGAGCTAACGCTGCATCCCAAATCACATAGCTGGGTACTTTACCTACTACGCTAATAAGTACACTTCTAATAGCATATGCACTTTTTATACACTGTTTAGTGTGCTAGTATACGATTTGGGAAGGGGCGCTAGTAACACAGCGGGAAATCTCAGCCATTTAGATTTCAGCTTTTGTTATCACTACAGCAACAAATCAAATAAAAACAAGGCAATACATTGAAATATATCAGTTAATATTAAAATATCATTTCTTTTACTGCCTTTTCTGAATCAGTAATGGCTTTATCTCATTACAAACTGCCACAGCACTGCTGACTGAACTCGAAGTTGCTTACCAAAAATGGTGGCAGCGCGATTGTGACATCACCAGAATACTATCAATACAGTGGGCCTATAAGGTAAGTTCATAAAATGGCCAATGAGCAGAAACATAAGAGAGGGCAGGGGTTTCTAATAACGTGGGCAGTGATTATATATGCTTTTCTTCTAATGTGCTGGAGAGTCTTCAGGTAGAGAAAGAAAGCTGAGGGAGCAGGTTAAAAATAATCATCATTGCTGCCATTAGAGGAGAAAAATCTTTTCAGTGGCTGGTAAAGCTGTTCCTGTGGATAGGCACTCTAACAAC